TGACCTCATAACGACAAATTGGCATTGGTACCACTTGAGTCTGGAATGCAGTTGTCATTTCAGAAACTTCAATTTGAGTGCTCACTGTTTTATCAGCTTCCATATAAAAGCATTGAATGCGATAAGCACGATCAATTTTAGTAATGAATAATGGATGAAATGAGATGACAACAGTGGTTGTCACAAAGATACCACGTGGATTTAACGATCTTGTCCGTACCACATTACATGTATCAAATAAAAGTTCAATTCCTGCTACCTGACGACCACCTGCATCTGATCGACAGTCTTGCTCATCATATAAACCTTTCACGTAAACGTGTCCTGAATAATATTATTGAATCATTTGCTATTGTTGTGTATCGTTATTAAAAAAACATTTTCAAATTATCATTATGAACAGAAAAAAAGAACAAAATTTTAAATAAGAATGGAATAAATAAAAATAATAAAGAGTGTGATTAAGTATTAACATTTCCACTTTGTCATCTTAAATAGTATGAATTTCCACTTTGTCATCTTAAATAGTATGAATTTCCACTTTGTCATCTTAAATAGTATGAATTTCCACTTTGTCATCTTAAATAATATGAATTTCCACTTTGTCATCTTAAATAGTATGAATTTCCACTTTGTCATCTTAAATAGTATGAATTTCCACTTTGTCATCTTAAATAGTATGAATTTCCACTTTGTCATCTTAAATAATACCCGCAAATTACAGTACAGCGAAGAAATATTTTCAAGTGCATGTAAAAATAAAAAAGTGAAATGAAATGAAATATCAAAAATTTTCAAAATCATGCAAATATCACTATTATTAATCATTCAATTTCTTTGTAAATTCACGAATTTAAATTTCGATGAAATCTGCTCATTTAAATCCAAAATGAACCAAAGAAATTAGCAAATCTTATTCGATGCTCATTAAAATTGTTTAAAAATGTTTCAATATCATTGAATAGAAGCCAAATGAGCTAATTACTTTGTTTAATTATTTGATAAATCAGCATTGAAAACATTCAAAACAATTTTTAAAATTATTTTATGACTTTTAGATCAACAAATAAATAGCTCATGATGAACAATTTCGTTTGAAAATGAAATTGTATCTAAATTTGATCTGTTTGATCAAGGGAAAGAGATAAGTGAAAAATGAGAGCTATAAAAAAATGTAATACTATTTTAAAAATAGAAAAATGAAAGCATCAAGCAATTGATTAACTATTTTTTTTTTTAGCAACTTTTATTGATTTAAAATTGCAAATAAATTTTTTTAACAATAAAAAAATTTTGAATTATAAAACAAATTGTTTGAATTAAAAAGTAAACCTTCAAATGAATTCCTTGTATTGAAATTAACAGTAACTGATGTTGGACCACATTCAATTTCAGGTTCACCTTCAACACCATTATCAATTGGAATAGCATTAATCCGATCAGTAAGTACTACTACCAATACTAGTAGAACTAAAAGTAAACAATTCGAGAGTGATAATTTTGCCATAAAGGAGCGAATAGGTTGATAGTGATATCTCAGCTGCTTCATAATGTCTCTCTTTATATGAAGACTTTAGTGTCAATCCGATACTGACCGTGGAACTATTTCGACGGGGTTGGATAGTGTGGACGAAGAGGGGAGTAAGGTAGTAAGTTGCCCGCAGGGTAGTTGACCCGCGCCCTTTCCTATTCCTCTCTCATCGGCCTATCTCGGCCTGTTTATGTTTATAATTTTGAAAAATGTTTCTTTTTAAGAAAGAATGATAATATTATTTACTATACTAAAACAATGCAAGTTTCACTTTCTCAAATCCGATTAATTATTTTCTCGATTTCTCGATTTCAATACTATTTCCATCTATTGAATTTTACATTATAATTTTCTATTCATTCCCTTTCTTCCCTCTCTCTCTCTCTCTCTCTCTCCCTCTCTTTCTCTCCTTCTTCCTTTAAAGTTTTTTTTTTTTTCATCAAAAAAAGAAAGCTAAAAAGAAATTGAAAATTTTTTTGGTGAAAAGTTTTTTCAGTATTTTTTAGTAAAAATTTTTAGTAAATAGCTTTTGTTGCTATTCTATAAATGAAGAAAGCAATTTATCATTTATCATTTTATTAAGTAATTCTAACAATTTAGTAACATACTTTTATTTCACGAAAAAATTCTTTTAATTTTAAAATTACATTTTCAAACAAATTTTCAAAAAAAAAAAAAAAAAAAAATGATAAAAATATCATTTAGTTAATTACTTCATTTGAAATTCCTATTTCGTTTGAAACAAGAAATTCAATGAATTAAAATGAATTCGAAATTTCTCAGATTTATTTATTTTTTTTTTTTTTTGCTACAAATATTTTCTATTATTAAACGATCTTTGGTGACACAAAAAAAAGAAAAAAAAAAATGACTAATTTCAAACTTACTACTGCACTGATAATATCAGTACTTTTAGTTGATATAAGAGCTTCTTATCATATTGCTATCAGTCTATAGCAGTTTTTATTCATTTCAACTATGTCATTTCTTCTTATTTTTATTTCTTAAATTAAAAAATTCATTTCATTCTCAGAGTTACTTAATTTCATTTAAAAATTGCATTAAAATGAATTAAATTTTGTTTCATTTTCAACATAGTTATGATAAAATTGTGAAATGATAATTGTTTGCAAGAAGAGTGATAACAAAATTTTATCTTTGTGATAGAAAGTTAAATCTTTAATGACAGCTACTTTAAAAGATTTTTCATCTGAAAGAGATTGAAGTGAAAAAATTTACCAAATATTAAAGTAAAATTAGCATAATTATTTACTAATTATTTTTCTTTTATCCATTGTTAGCTATTTTATCAATAAAAGTTGGTTAATAAATCGCTAAATTATAGAATGTAATTAAAAATAAGTTTATTCTCGAATACTCGAATAAAATTATTGCAAAAAAAATTTGATTAAATTAAATTGAATCCTACTAAAAAGATGATCATCGTACAAATTTCATTACAAAATTAAAATTCCCTCTCAGTGACATTTTAAATTTCTAAAATATCCAGGACAAGAATGTATATTATTCAGATAACTAAATTCATTCCGGCATTTTTCCGATTCGATATCATCAATCACATATTAATAAATCTTTCCATACTTTCCTTCTCCAGGAATTAATTACACATTTCATTTATGATTTGAGATGATCTCGACATCTTTCTCTCGCTCTCGACATCTGTGATCTAATTTCTCTCTCCCTCTCTCTTTCCCTCTCTCTCTCTCTCTCTCTTTTCTGAAATTTATTTGTACACAATATTATTTTCTTTAGACTAAATTATTTCTCATTACTGTGCAAAATGTTCGAAATGATCTCGATAATCCAATTCCTTTCTCCCTCTCTCTTTCCCTCTCTCTCTCTCTCTCTTCTGAAATTTATTTGTGCATAATATTATTATTCTTTAGACTAAATTGTTTCTCAAAATGTTCAAATTGATCGAAGTATGAAATTTCAATGAATTCTCTTTGTTAACAAATGAATTTACTTCTATGATTTTTTCTTTTTTTTTTTTTTTTTTTTTTTTTGTTTACTTTTCCCCAAACACAATTTCAAATGTATTTTCATTTTATGCAAAAAAAAAAATAAACAAAAAATTGCTCCGAATGTTGCAACAGCTATTTTATAAGCTATTGATTAGTAAACTTTTCAATATTTCAAATTTTGTATTTCAATTTCTCTTCAAAATTAAATTTTTATACTACTCATTAGGTACTCATTCAAAGGTATAACTATTCTATGAAGGTACTAATTCTCAAAAATTTATATGACATGTGTGACACACACTTTATTAATTTGCTATCTCATAGTGTGAATTAAGGAATAAGAAACATAAACATATTTGGAAACATTTTAAATTGTTTAGTTTTTTTTTTTGAATTTAATTTAACTGATAATTTCAACTGATTTTAGAATATTTAGCTAATAATGAAATTAAATTTGACAAAAAGGAAAAAAAAAATTAGCAAAAAGCATAAATTAAATGAGCAAGTATAGCTAAACCTAGTAAAATTGTTTAACTTTAAAAATTTTTTAAAATTGTCTAACTTTTTTTTTTTTAATTTTTTCTAACTTTTAAAAATAAATAAGAATTCATTAGAATGTAGCACAATTTATTAGTGATATTAATTTCTTCAAACTTTTGCACTCATTAAATTGTCAAAGTTACATTAGATACTTTTTATCATTACTGATTAGCATCAGTAATGATAAATGATAGCTCATTTCCACTTTTGCCTTTCCCACTCTGAATGCAATATTTAATAATTAAAAAAAATGATTTCAATTTTTTAAATTACTAAACAATTATCTTTTTTTTCTGCATGAAATTAAATCAGAATAAATTAAATTAAATTGAAAACTGAATAAATTCCAAAAAAGTTTCTCATCAAATCTGTATAATATTTATGAATAATATTCATATCCACGAGATATTCATAATAAAAAAAAAGCAAATTTTTATTGCTAAATAAAAATATAAAATAGATAAATTATTGTAGAATAATACATTTTCATTTTTATATCATTTCCAGTTCGGTTCAACTAAAACAAACATTTATTATTTCCTTTTTCCATTTTAAATGTACATTTAAAAATTAATTCTTTTGATTCAATCAAAAAACAAAAAAAAAAAAAAACAAAATTTTTTCAATAATTACTATTCAAATAGTAATAATAACAATAATAATAATAGTAATAATAATAATAATAATAATAATAATAATAATAATAATAATAAGTTCATTCTTATCATTAAAAATTTAAAAGAAACAAAGAAAAAGGATCGATAATACTAATTTGCTAGTTTAAAATAGAATAACTTCATCTAATTGTTTTGCTTTTCAAATTTTTTAAAGCTATAAAAATTGCAGAAAACATTCTTTTGAGTTTTTCGAAAAAAAAAAAAAAAAAAGGAAATGAAAATTTTTAAGTTTTTTTAGAAGTGATAAAAAGAAGAAAAAAACAAAAAATGGGTAGTTCATATGAAGCAATTGGTCCGGCAGAAAATATTGCATTATCACCTGAAGAAAAAAAGGTGGAAAATAATGGTAGGAATTTGAATAGACTAATCTATTTCTCTTATAAGATAAACAAATATAGCTGTTATCAGCTCTAACATAAAGTCTTCTTATCATATCAGTATTGTATGTCTTAAAATATCACAAATGATAATGTGTATCTTTCGTATTTTTGTTGTAAAATATATTTTCTAATGATAATAGCAAAGATAGCAATGATATGACAATTTATCTAATTTATATTTCATATTAAAAGTTAATTTTACCCAATGATTGAATCCTTTTGATGCTAAGCAAATAAATTGTTAAAAAAATATTTGCTTATATCTTTAATGAATTTAATTTGCAGTTGAACAAAAAGCGCAAAAAGTAGCCAATAAAAAAGAGACACATTCAGGTGAATACATTAATTTATAAAGTAGACAATACTGCTGACCATAGTAGGTCAGATTAATTAGAGTTGGGTCACTCGATGATGCATCACTGAATTATTTGAAGTCTATAAATTTAGCATCAATTGCTACTATTATTGTATACATTGAATAGATCATTTCAAAATCATTTCATTTAGTTTTTTCAAAATCATTTTTCACCTTTTGAAATGAACAGGTAAATATGGCTGGTCAATTCCAGCAATTACTCTAATGTGCATATTCATGCCTCTAATGATCATATCCTTTTTTGCTGCTGGAGCTGGATTTGGTAAATTATGGAAGTCAGATTAACGGGTTATTAAATTTAACAATTTCTTCTTTTTTCCCTCAAAATTTTTCAATTTCAGAACAACAATTGAGTAATAGCAAATTTGAATCATCAAAGATTATTATCTTTATTAATTATCTTAATTAGCAATAGTATACTTTCATGGATCTTATTTATTAAGAATAAATCATTCCTCTACATTGACATTGTAACCTAATTCGACAAATTTTCATTATTTTCAGATTATTCTTTCATGTTCGTATTTATCAGTGAAAAACTATAACACATTGCATCGGAGTAGCTAACTCGATGGGAGAAAAAAAAAAATGAAGATTAATAAAAATTTGAATTTAAATTGTTTGTCTCAAAAAGTAAGAGAGAAAGAGAAGGAGTTAGGATGAGACAAAGATTTCGTTGTTTAAAAATTAATGAAAAGTTAGAAAAGTCTTGCTTGTAGATCGTTTAAGAGCACATCTAATTATTGACCTCTATTGTTATAAAACATATTACTGATATCAGTTAAAGCATTAATTAATCATGCAAAAATTCATGGCCATAAAAGAGAGCATTTTCTTCTAGCTACAAATCTTTAAGCTCTATTTATCATAAGACATTACTAAAAGCTGTGTCACTACTGGTGCAGATATGTTAGAATAGAAAGAATCAATAACGAAATCAAAGGAGCAGTTTGTTGTTATCAACCACAACAATAATTTCAGCTAAATTCTCCTATAGTTTTCTCCCGTCTTTTATGCTTTTTTAAAGATTCATAGAGAACTAGAAGATGTTAAATGTAGAAAACGAAAACTGAAAAAAAAAAAAAAAAAAAGGAAAAAAGCAAGTAGCGAAACACCCTAGATGACAAGCAGTACAGGTGAGAAAGTATACGAAGACGATTCTTTCCATAATAGTAAAGATTGTTGATAATAGCTTGCAAGTGTTACGCCAAATATTCGCTGCAACATCTAGGCTATCGTAAAACGGCTTTATAATTGCACACCAAGCTATATTATTTTTTTTTAAAAGGAAACTGACAGTGATGTGAAAATAATGATCATTGAAGGTCTCCTTGATCTTAGTCTAATATAATTTCCAAAGTGTCGAGGTAATTCTTGAAAACTGGAACAACCGCAAAAGATAGGAACCCTCGAGGCGAATAAAATTGGATGCAGTATGTAGACTCAGAATTTCATTTCAATGAATTATTATCATCGTTGCACTAACAATACAAGACAAACCACCCAAACTCATTCATATTTTCCTGATAATTTCAAGAATTTCCTCTCCCACTAGCATTCACAGTTGCACAAATAATTAAACAAAAAACAGGGAAATGTAGCATTATTCAAAAATCCAAAATAATAATAATTATTAATGTGAGTGTACTTTCAAAAATTTGCAGTTGAAATCGAACAACAACTTAAACAAAAGAGATCTTAGTATTATTATTTAAAATGAATGATTTGTAGACGCTCTCGTGTGATGCTTTAATAATATTAAAATTATAATCAAAATAAGCCCAATAATAGCAAACAGAAACAATCATCCAAAGGAAATAAAAAAAATCAGATTGCACTGCATACACATATTTGCCCGTTTATGGAGCCGAAACTTTCGGATGTTTGGAACCGCGCATGTAAGCATCTAATTCTCGATCCAGTTCTTCACTCGTCACTTGTGGTTTCCGAGATGCTTTCTTCAGTCGACCGAAACCACCAGTCCTTCTTTTCATTGATAAATTGTTACTACCAAACCGAATACTGCCTCTAGCTCCTCTTTTTGTTACTCGACCCTGAAATTATTTCCTGTAAATTTACTGAACCTTCTGTAAATCTGTAAAAATATTCTCCTCTCAATTATAATACATACAACACGGAAAATATTTAATGCAGAAGCTATGACAACTACTTTGTCAGATAGAGTGAAACTCGAATTTCAAAAGAAAGGAAAGAACGACTTGAAAAGGAAAAGAACTAACCTGCGAAACACCTCTCATAAAATCATTCTTCGTCAATACGAACAAATCCATCACTTTCCCTAAACATTCCAAATTATTAAACAAATAAAATACAACTAAGTGATCGTTTTAAATGAATTCCATCTTTTCCCAACTGATATCGTAAATTAAAAAGGACCAAATACTCAGCAGCAGATAGTCTATCACCTAAGACGCCAATTAAGCAATATTAACTCAAATGTAGCACCTTAGATTATATAACACTCAAAATCCTTAATGGACTAACATGCAAATATATGCCAGTCTAGAATTATCACTTATATCAACACAGCGTTTCAGAAATTATGTGAAATCAAGTAACAGTTATAAAAAATTAAAAGTCGTATAGAAACGAAACCCAGCGCCACTTCAAAACATAGTAACTTGTAACGACAACAGACAGATTACAATCACAGCATTTGATAAAGCAATTTTGATCTCAGAAAAAGTTAAAGTTATTTCTCACCATCTAATCTTACTCCGGTAAACTGCCTCTTCAATTTCATACCATCTTCGAATCTCTTGAATATCACAACAGCGGTACCAGAGGGGCTACCATCTGGTTCATATTGCACAGCGACATCTTCGTATGGATGCTGTGCAAACAATTCCTGAAATAAAATAAATAGGACCCTTAATGTTTTAAAAACAGATGGGAATTAGTCAGATCAACAGTGGAATATGCTATTTATCTGAAGCAATGAGAAAGCGATTACTTGTTGACCTCATTAAAAGAAAATTTAGTCGAAAAGTTTCCAAACTACCTGTAAGTCGGTTGTGGTAACCATTGGTCCGAGATTTGAAATGTTAACAATACACATATTTGCATCACGTTTGAGGTTACTCAAGCGAAAATTTCCTTTTGGACGCTAAAAAACATCAAAGCTCTCGATAAGAAAGATAATAAAATGCAAAAACTTACTATCACGGTTCCTACTTAAGCACAAATGCAAAATCAAACTCATAAAATAAATAACATCATAAAACAATTACCCGACTGGTGACTACAGGAATTCGACGTACGCCACCGCGAAAACCACGTACACCTTCACGCCTAACAATACCCGGACGTCGGTTTGTGCGAAACTTTGGTCCACCCCGTGCAATAATTTCGTCGAGTGAAAGACCGATCAAGTCATTCACAGACATTATATTTCGTTGAGTTTCAGTTCAGCAATGTGAAAACAATGCTTACGTTGACAAGGAAAACAACAGGCTGAAAATCATACCATAAACTGTTTAAGGAACAAAACCTTAATGAGTTAAAATACGTACAGGATCTGTTGCTGCTATCATTGTATGAAAATAACCACCATAATATTTCCCAGATATACAATTTCTCAAGTTACCAAATGATAGCACAAATATCATTTGATAACTTCATAAAACTCTCCAGTTGCCTACTGTACCATTACACTGGATATTTATCGACTTATGAGTAAATCAATGATTAAACAAAATAAGGTCCAAGTTTCAAACTATATTGCACGCAGATACCGCGCAAACATTACATAAAAAAATATTGTGCCACTTTTTTAAGCTTATGAGATCATTCTTCCCACTTTTAACCTTATAAGATCATTATTTCCCCTTTTAACCTTATGAGACCATTATTTCCACTTTTAACCTTATGGGATCATTATTTAAATAGTATTATGATTAAGTTACATTGATTGCTCAGCTGATTCGAAATCCTATGCCACTATAATTATTTTGCTGCATGTAGTCTTCACATAATTTATTACTCGATTTTCATTTTAATCAATCAATGGTGATAAACTATACAACAATTTAATATTCATATATACTGAACATTGGGCTAACAAACAAAAATTAACAAACAATAAGGACTGATCTTAACAACCTTAACTGGAAAATAATATGCTGAAAAGAAAGTAAACTCTGAAAATCGTTTCAGAGTAGCAAACACCTCGAGAAATACACCAAATACCCCAAAAGAAAATCCCAGAAGAACTGTACACGTACATCAAAGCTAAGACAGCCAACAGTAAAACTAATAATTGGAAAGTATCCTGACGAGACCTATCATACCAATTGCAGCTTTGCATAACTGGGATTTTCTGACTCTCTGTAGTGCACCCAGCAAGATGTAATGTGGTAATTAGACAGGGGCTAGAGATTTCGAGACTTACGAGATAGTATGCTACCAGGGATTGAGAGGATTCTTGAATAGATTCATTTTTTGGGTGGATTCATGATCAAAAGCAAGAGAGACATTGTGGATGTAAGAGAAGTAGAGATGGATTGGAATCATAGACACAGAGTGACAGACAGTTGGTAGTAAGAAATTTGGTGACATTGGCTTGGTTGTGTTCGGTTGGGTGGTCATTTCTTCAGTTATTCAATAAAAAAAATTCAATTCAATTATATTTTGTTTAAAATTAAAAGTTACATTGTCACCTTTCAAGAAAAAAAAAAGAAAAAGTTAAACTGATTGAATTTTAATTAAAGTAAAGTATTACGATTCTGGTTGAAATTTATTAAATTGAATTAGAACTTAGAGAATAAATTATTGCATTGAGAAAAATTTTTGGAAGTCAAGAAAGATGCATAACAATTGTTATTAGAGTTATTGAAGTAAGCATTAGCAGTTTTTAAGTAAACATTAAGTAAGCATGTAGTAATGACATTGAATTAAACTGCAATTGAATTTAATTGAAATGAATTATACAATTCTGATTGAATTTGACTAAACTAAACTGAAATAAATCAGTGCGAAACAAATTTACTTTAGCTCTTTTATTTTTCAAACCATACTCGAAATGAATTCCGAAATTAGCAAAATTAAAGTAACAGATAAGGCAAAAACGAAAAAAAAAAAAAAAGATAACTTAATGAATTAACTATTTTTTAAAATAGCAGCTATAAGTGATCATTATCACACCATGTGGTACACTTTATCAAACGAGATTCTTTGGTAGCGAACAATAACCTGAAATTAATTTGAAGATGACATGTCACTTCATTTTCATTTTCATTTCACATTAGTTTCTCATAGAGCAACTTCTTTAACTTTGACATTTGACATTACTTCCTTAACTTTGACATTTGACATTACTTCCTTAACTTTGACATTTGACATTACTTCTTTAACTTCCACTTAATCATTTAATCAAGAACTAGTTGAAATAGCATAGCTCTTCGCAAAAAAATAAATAAATTTTTTATACCAATGAAATCAAATGATACGGATAGTTAGAAAGATAAATATGCATATTTAACATGCTAAAATTTCATTTTTTTAAATTCCTGCTAATAATAAAAAGTGTCACAAACCTATATAGGAAACATGCAAAAAGGGAAGCTAAACAAGGTCCAATCCAGAATATTCCTTGCATTCGTAAGAGTCCAAAATTGTTTTCAATGCTACCATAGCTAGCTAATGCAAATGCAACTAAAGGATTCCATCCAATGGTTGAATTCAGTAAGCTGTAAATGAATTAGCATAATGGAATAAACGATTATTTGATTGGTTATTAATTTAAGTAAAATTGGCTAATAATTTGATTGGTTATTAATTTAAGTAAAATTGGCTAATAATTTGATTGGTTATTAATTTAAGTAAAATTGGCTAATAATTTGATTGGTTATTAATTTAAGTAAAATTGGCTAATAATTTGATTGGTTATTAATTTAAGTAAAATTGGCTAATAATTTGATTGGTTATTAATTTAAGTAAAATTGGCTAATAATTTGATTGGTTATTAATTTAAGTAAAATTTGTATGATACAACTAAAAATCCATCATTTCTTTACTGAATTAGAAGCGTACACTAATTTTGCATCAATTATAATGTACCATATTTTCATCTTTTTTACTCTTATTTTTTATTCATTTTTAAAAATGATAAAGTGATAGGAACTATTGAAGAGGGATTGAATTGACAGAGTTTTTTTTTTTAAATATTCTTAAAATTTTTATGGTAGACAACGAACTAACCAACCATAGTAGCGATGAAACAAATACAGCGGCAACAACTGAGAGAGGAGTGTCACCAGGCTTTGCTAAAGCTGTCAACCCGGAACCTGTTCGTTTAGTTATGAGAAGATGAGTAATGATAATTAGCAAAGTACCGATAAATTGAGAAAGAATCTGCAAGATATTAAAAATGAGACTTTTTATAAGGGTTTTCCAAGCATCTTCATTTGAATATCTGTTTTAAAAAAAATAATTCGTCTCCTACTCCTTTCAAGTTTCTAGAAAACGAAAGAGTTAATTACTCTTCTATTTAATAACTATGAAATCTGAATAATATATTAAAAATTAATTAACAATATACTTAATTAATAACATAAAAATTAATTAACAACATACTAAATGGTATGCAGCACCGATGTCACCAATGGTAATATCAGATATAATTGTTGGCATTTGCAATTCTGAACCACCTGATCGAGTTATCTATAAGAAAACAAACTAATCAGTTATCTTAATGAAATGATTATTATAAACAAAGATAATATCAATTAATTATTAATTACCACAAAAGTAGCAATAGCAGTTACAGAGCCAAGAATTTGCATAACAATCATGGCACAACACATTGGCCAAGCAGTAGTGAGTGCAAAAAATTCAGCCAAGGTAATCACTGGATTCAAATGTACACTGCAAATGAATGATTGCTTAAAAGAAAAAAATTTTTTAAATTCATAAATATAATTTGTGTAAGTTTATTACTCATAAACTTAAACTTAAACTTAAACTCATAAACATAAACCTAACAATTTGCATAAAAAAAAAGGTATAAATTTTCTTTCCTTTTTATTAGCAATTTACCCTTTGTTTTCTTCTTTTTATATCTACATTTATCTTCTAATTTATATTTAACTTAAACTTTTTCCAAATTAGCACCACTTCAATTTCATTACAATTTATTATGTTATGATGAATTTTACTTAAACAAAGAGTAAGTTAGAGTTTTTAATATTATAATATTAAAAATTTTTAATATAAATATTTTAATGTAATTATTATCGTAGATCAATTTTTTTTCTTATATCTTTAACCCACGAATTGCACTCAGTAATTTAATCTCTTAAATAATCTTTCTGATTCAAATAATCAATTTTATTTCATTAATTAACATTTAAAAGAGGTTGAAAAAAAAAAACGAACAAATTTGATAATTCTATCTTTTATATTTTATTGTTAATTATTTCATTTTATAATTAATTTATAAATAAATATATGGGAAAAAAAAATTTGCTAAACATAATTTAACGAAATAAAAAAGAAAAGGAAATTTCCATCAATTCTCTTTTTTTTTTTTAAATTTTAAAAACTCTAATTTAAAAAAAAAAAAAAAAAAAATGAAAAAAGTTATTACGTTTGAAAAGCCATAATCATAGCAAATACAACCACTGAATCAGTAAAAGATTGAAGTATAATTCGTTCAGTACTGAATGATATCAAATGTGTTCGCAATTCAATTTCCATTATTTTTCCAATAAAAATACATAAAAAAACAGCAATAAATTCTGCTACACATGGACGAATTATACGATTGAAACAATTTAGCTGCAAATTTTAATAATTAATTTAATTTAAATTGTTTAATAAAAATGAAAATTTGCATTGATAATAGATTGTAACTATAAATTATCATTGTTAATGTGATAGTTTGGAAAATTTTTTATTTCAATAATTTAAAATAATATCAATGGCTGCAAATTTTAATAATTAATTTAATTTAATTTGTTTAATAAAAATGAAAATTTGCATTGATAATAGATTGTAATTATAATTTTTTATTTCAACAATTTAAAATAATGCAGAAAATATGAATGATCATTAAAGATTCTTTTCTTTTTTTTTTTCAATTCTATTTATTTACTCTAAAAGATTGTAATGAAATTACTGAATGCTTAATTTAATCCCTGAATAGTAGTTCTTTCTTCTTTTCTCTATTATTTCAATCAATTAACTTACCTTAAAAGTTTAACTTACTCTAAATTAACTTACCTTAAAAAAAGATAAACAAACCTTTTGATCGATATGATTGCATTGATATTGTAAAATAGTTGGTGTGTAATAATCATTGTATTTAATACAATGATTATTTTTCAAATTATTTCTCATTTCCAAATTATTTTCATTCAAATTTCGTTCTTTATTATCTCTCATTGTTCCATGCATATTTCCATTCAATGTTGTACAAAAATCTTTTTTATCGATTGGTGTTTGAAGTAATGAAGAGGAATATTCCAAATCATCGTAAAACATGAAATCTAATTAAGTGTATAATAATCAATCGTAAGATATTGAGAAATGAGATGATGATAAGTAAGAATATATATAAGTAAGAAGGAATAAGTAAAAATATAATAAGTAAGAAAGAAGTAAGAATAAGTAAGAAAGAAGTAAGAATAAGTACGAAATAAGTAAGAATAAGTAAGAAATAAGTAAGAATAAGTAAGAAATAAGTAGGAATAAGTAAGAAATAAGTAAGAATAAGTAAGAAAGAATATCACCTGTGATAGAAACAAATTTACAATTATATTTTAATAAATTTTAATATTTAAAATTTGATGAAAATTAGTAGGCAAAAATGAGGAAACTTTGATATAATAATATAAGTAATATAAATGATTTGAAGAAATAATTTTAAAAATAATTTTTATTGAGAATGAATATGATCATACTCTAAAAGGTCTAAAAAATAAACTCAAAATTTCTCTGACTATATATTTATACTTTAGATTACATTCAAAATAAATCATTTTGATAGAAATTAAAGTAAGGTAAAAAAAAAAAATCCGAAAAAAAAAATTAAATCTAAAACTGATAATATTTAACTATTATTAATTATTTGAATTATTAATTTGAAATTAAAAAAAAAAAACTTATTCTGAAATCAATGAATAGTTTAAGATATAATATTTAAGTACAAACATTCATTATTATAAATAATAAAACCTAAAATGCTTCAATCATTAAATGATTGAAGCATTTTAGGTTTTACATCAGAATTTATACTTTAAAATTGTTAAATTTTCAGATTAAATTTTATTAAAATTGTTGAATTTCAGAATTTTGCAATAAGAAATTTTAAATGAAATAAATGAATTGAAGATAACAAAATTAATGAGATGAATGGTATTAAGCAAACTAAAACATATGTTCTTTGAAAATGCTAATCGAAAATTATGGGATGCTCGAGTGGGATTTTGAAAATTTTTGTTGTAACAATGTTAGAGAGCTAATAATTACAATCACTAAGCTTTGCAGTTATCGAAGTTAATTGATGTGTACATAAATTTAAAAAAGAAAAAAAAAAAAAGCAAAAAACTTTTTAAAAAAAAAAGAAAGTTTAAAATTAGTTTAAATTAGCTCTTTTTACTTTTTAATTAATTGAGCTATTTCTATTGTTAGCATTTCTGGAAATTTTTAAACTTTTCTTTCTTTTTTTTTTTTTTTTTTTATGTTCACTTATTTTAATAAAAAATTTTAAAATGAGCAAAAGTTCAAGTTTTAATTAAAACTTCTCTTTTTCTTTCTTTCTTTCTCTCTCTCTCCCTCTCTCTCTCTTTCTAATGTAGCAAAAAAAAAAAAAAACAAAAAACAAACATTGAAATATGATTTAGCACTTACGAAAAGATAAAATTTGAAAGCATTGATATTCGTGTGGAAATGATAAATTTAAAATATAATGGATAGAAATTAAAATAGTTTGTATAAGTTAATTTAAAAAAATCTTTCACAGAGAAATTTTGAAAAATGAAAAAAATGCAAATGAAAGATAAAAAAAATAAATTATTGCTCAAAAACTTTTTTTTTTTTAATCTAAGAAAAAAACCTACAAATTTGGTTAAATAAGATTTAACTAAATTTGAATTGAAATTACAATAAAAAGAATTTTATTTTATTTTATTTTTCATCATTAAAAATATTTATTGGTAGTAATATAAAAATGAATTATTGATTAAAAATAGAAATTGGGAAAATAAGCAACCATCTAACTTATTCCTATATTCTTAACATTCATTCAATAAAATCGTATCATTTTTTCTAATAAATCTATCTACTTCGTCGAGACTGTTCTATTTATAGCTCGAGACTGCAGAGTGTAATTTTGTTAGAAAATTTTGATTGTAATTGTTGAACTAAACTAATTTTTTTTTTTTTTTTTTAAAGTAGTAATAGGAAGTTTTTTAAAAATAGTAAAATTTTGTTTTTTTTCAAAGTAAATCAAAGTAATAATTTAAAAATAGTAATATTTGAATGACAATAATGAATCGCTGAAATGTTGACCTATGATAATCCAATTTTTATCTTATCTCCTGCAGAATTTTATCTACTTTTTCCTTCTTCTATATCAATTAAAAGATTTAATTCAATAGTTCGATTCAACAATTACAATCAAAATTTGTTAATTATTTAAAAAATTTACTAATTAATAAAAGTTTATACTAGTTTTATTGCTTTATAATACATTTACTTTTTACAATATATTTTTTAAGAAATACAGAGAAAATAGTAACAGAAAAATAGTAGTATTAAACTATGGGCGCAAATATAATTTAAGTAAGTAACTTTTGCTCATCCTGAAATTACTTGATGATTTACTTTGAATTGTCTAAATTTTAATTTCAATAATTATAGAGAAATGATTTTTGTATTTTTACTGCTATTTCATTTCAAATGAAATAAAGCAATTAATTCATTTCAAATAATTTTACGTCTAATTTCGCTTATCATATGCCACTTACGAACGGATATCACGTAATTCAATAATATCAATCAAATCTGTAATTCAATTTACTAAAATTTAAATTAAAAGTATAACTTCCATCATTATTACTAACTTCTTATGTAGATAATATTTTTTCATAAAATTCTGCAAATGTTCACTACGGATTTTTAATGCAACTAATGACCCAAATTGAACCCAAATTGAACTATGACCCAAATTCTTCTAAGATTCTATCAATTTCACTAAAGTGAAGGAAAAGAAATTTCTAAAAACAGAAGGTCATAGTTCATAGTATCAATTACTTATTTATTGTTTGCTCAGTTTTTTGTTTATTCTTTCTAACATTTTATTCTTTTATATGCAATCATTATATGTTCATCTTTTTTTTGTTTGTAAATAAATATTCGTTTTACAAACAATAATTTAATAGTAGCAAAATATCCATTCTTCACTTCGTTACGATCGAAATTTCTCGTAATTTCTCATACTAAATCGAAGATTACAGTTTTTTTTTCTTCCTTTAATATTTTTAATTTATCTTTTAAAGTGCGTCTCAAAAACAACGACAGTGCTAATTAAACTTACAATTCTTTATAAATTTCATCCCATCTACTCTTATGTATTTTTATAACAGTCACAGTGTTCAACTGTAACAAATTTTGATTTAAAAGTTTCTTCAATAATTTCATTTCAATAAATTCTCATTAACATAAATTATTAATTAATAAAACTCAATAGAAATAGTCCCATCACAACATACTATCGTAAAATATTGAAATATCTCGAAACAGTATAGTATTGACTTATTTGTTCTACATCATAAATGATAGATAATTGTTGAAAATGAACGTCCCCAATGATAACACAGTTTTATCATCTGAGTTTTTATCCGAATTTTTTCTTTCGGTCTGCTAAACTGTCAACTGTCTTGTGAATTAACTGTCAACAGAATATCTACAATGAGACATTTTGTTTGTTTGAAATTTGTACGAGATGTGACGTGTAAGCAAAACGCAACTAACTATATAAACTGCTGAATTACTACCAGAAGCAGTTGACACAGTGATTACTACCAGAAGCAGTTGACACAGTGATTACTACCAGAGGCAGTTGACACAGTGATTACTACCAGAGGCAGTTGACACAGTGATTACTACCAGAAGCAGTTGACACAGTGATTACTACCAGAAGCAGTTGACACAGTGATTACTACCAGAAGCAGTTGACACAGTGATTACTACCAGAAGCAGTTGACACAGTGATTACTACCAGAAGCAGTTGAACCAGAAGCAGTTGACACAGTGATTACTACCAGAGGCAGTTGACACAGTGATTACTACCAGAAGCAGTTGACACAGTGATTACTACCAGAAGCAGTTGACACAGTGATTACTACCAGAAGCAGTTGACACAGTGATTACTACCAGAAGCAGTTGAACCAGAAGCAGTTGACACAGTGATTACTACCAGAGGCAGTTGACACAGTGATTACTACCAGAAGCAGTTGACACAGTGATTACTACCAGAAGCAGTTGACACAGTGATTACTACCAGAAGCAGTTGACACAGTGATTACTACCAGAAGCAGTTGACACAGTGATTACTACCAGAAGCAGTTGACACAGTGATTACTACCAGAAGCAGTTGACACAGTGATTACTACCAGAGGCAGTTGACACAGTGATTACTACCAGAAGCAGTTGACACAGTGATTACTACCAGAGGCAGTTGACACAGTGATTACTACCAGAAGCAGTTGACACAGTGATTACTACCAGAAGCAGTTGACACAGTGATTACTACCAGAAGCAGTTGACACAGTGATTACTACCAGAAGCAGTTGACACAGTGATTACTACCAGAAGCAGTTGACACAGTGATTACTACCAGAAGCAGTTGACACAGTGATTACTACCAGAAGCAGTTGACACAGTGATTACTACCAGAAGCAGTTGACACACTGATTACTACCAGAGGGAGTTGACGTTTTAATTCATTACTGCATTTTGTCCATCTTCTGATCGTCACATGTACGTGTGACACTGTCCCCGAGATATTAGAGGAAGGTGAACTACGGACTATTAGAAATTCGGGTGACATTCCACTGCGAGTAGTTACTACTGAAAAGCTCAATAGCGCTGCAATATTTCGCACCTGTCATAGGACCACTGTTTGACAAAAGTGTCTTTTTCATCTTTCGAATTTCGTTTTCAGTTTGCAAAGTTGAGAGATGGTGGAACGAAGAGGCGCAAATGTCGCGGGTGCTGGAAGGCTTAGTAGTGATTCGGTTCGTTCTTTTATAGATTTATTGCTCTTTGTCTTGGAAATTTATTTATGCAACATTTTCTTGCAAACGAAAGAGTGAAATGTGGACAAAGTTTTCAATAAGTAGGATTTATTGCAGGATGAATCGCAAGATGAGGTAGGACTGATAAGAGATGACTTAGAGAATGCTGAGGAATTGGTTTTCGATTTTGAGGCTTATCCCATATGTGATGACGATAAAGAGGGTCTTGTCAATATGCTAACACAGGTACTTTTCAAATTTTTTTTCACTGCAGAAATGACATATAACAATATTCATTGATCATTCGAATTTTACTCATATTGTGCTATCAGCAATCAATTACTTTTTGACAATTATTGCATTCATTTCATTTATTAATTTAGTTTTCCTTGAAGCGTAACGAAATTCTTCACTTCTTTTTAACTCAATATATTCATCAGAAAAGCCTTGATAGTGTGAATATTGCAGATACCGCTTTTTTTTTTCCTTTTTTCTAGATCTTCCTTCGTGTCGATATTGATGTGAAACAAATGGCCGATATCTTAGTGGAACAATCACCATTTGGCTGCGTTTATCGCGTACGTTTTTTTTTTTTTTTCAGAAATAATTCTAAATCCTACTTTGTAAACAAATTGTATTTGATAAATCAAGTTCATTCGGTCCTCTGGTACTGCTTGTTTTGAGTAGAGAGCCTCAAAGAGTAAAGCTTTCTAAATCCAAATTGTTGAAAGTTTTCAGCCTTCTGAAGAATTTATGGATGAAGATGATGAGGGTATTGTATATGGTGTATTGTCGATGTTAAAACTGGATACAGATCAGGTTTTTTTCTTTTTTTTTTAAATCTTTATCGATTTCAGAATTAGGTGTTCATGTTAATTCTCTGTTCAATGAGATTTCTTTCATTTTTTGTAACTGTTGCTTCCCCTGCTTGAAATATATTGAAATATTTTGACTAATTGAAGCGATCATTTTTTTCGTTTTCTCTCTGATGTGCATCCAGTTTGTGAAATATATTATTGCAGAAATTCCAAACAGATATTTGGGCTCTACTGAAAGCAAGAGCACAAAAATATTCCGTTGATAAAAAAATATCCTCTATTTTGGAAAATTTGTCGACTCCAAAATCGGATATTCGTGTTGGCCTGCTAATCAACGAGAGATTGCTCCACTTTCCTGCAACTATTGCTTCTCCTGCTTTCAAGTCGTTGGCGTATGTTATTTTCTTTTCATTTCTAGAAAGTTTCCTGGGTTATTTTCTCAGTTATGATCTGTTGATCTTTCCACTTTTTTTGTCGCTGCTGGATTATTGTTGCTGTATTACAGAACTGAAAACTATATATGTTTCATTTCTGAATTTTGCCTCTGTAAATTCATGATGATTCGTTCTTCTTGAAGAACGTCTAATTCCCAAAATCTTTAAAACGGAACTGGAACATCAGGAAATATAAATTAGCCCAAAATATATTCCTTGTGTATAATGTAGGTGTATTGTCACAAAAACTTAGTTAAAAAGGCTGAGATTTATTCCGCATCAATTTGATTTCTCTGAATTTTCATTTTTCTGCTTATTTCGTTCTGGCATTGCTAATACAAAGAACTTGAAAATTTTCCATATTTCGCATTTACTAAAATTTCATAGATTTTTAGTATATTAAGTTTTCACCAAATGGAAAAACATTCTTCATTTAGGAATGATCTGAAAAAGTTTGCTGCACAATATCGCTTTTCCCATGTTGTTTTGATTTTGAAAATTCGAATAGCTGATAAGGACAGTAATAAAGAACGAAATGAAGCAAGTGCTTCCGATGTACCGAATAAAAGGAAAAAATTAACTAAGGCGCAAAAAAAGCGCATCGCGGCGAGTGCGATTGCCAACGCCAAAGTTATTTATGACAACCGTGAAGAGGAGCTTTTGTTTCAAGTACGAACTATAGTTATAATTTATATTTTTCGAAATCCAAACACCATAACTGTAAATTCCTGATGCTGTGAATTAAATTTAATTATCTAATCGGTGAAGCGTTTTCAGTTTACCATTTAGTCATTATTCAGAAAATTATAGGATTTATAAACGAAAGAGTTTGTATTTATATTTCTTTTTCATCAATGATTTCAGGGTGGTTTGCAGTTCGACTATTTCCAGTACCCGGTTCAATCAGATGTAGAAAAAGATTCTAAATTTGGTTCAGTTGTACGGGAAGGTATCACTTATCGACCTTATAGACGTGTTTGTTTTCTTGATAGTAGCACATTTCATCGTTATATTGAGCTTGTTAGTTCAGCAGACAAGCTCTGATTAAAGATTTTTATTTGACGATATTTCTATTTCTCATTGATCGATCATTTCATTTATATAATCTCTTTCTGGATTGGAATGGATGGTCATCTTTTCTGTATATACTAGCATTATCTTTTCTAATTTTAAAATGTGTTATCTGTTTGAACATTGAATGGAATAAATATTTCATTGCGTTAATACGAGACATACAGCATATCAAGATGTCATAGTTTGCCAATTAAGAAAAAAAAAAAGAAGTCTTTTAATATATATAAACTTGTATTTCTGGCTCATTGCGAAGACGAAAATTTCTCTTAATGGTGAAACATTTTAATTACTTCTTAATGATGAAGCATTTTAAAGATTTTTTTTTGATTTATTAAATTTTCAAAAATATAATGCTGAGATTTTCGATATAGTTTTCGTGATATGTTTGATCATGAATTACATTTGAATTGACATTTATCTTCCACTTTAGTGGGAAATGAATTTACCTGCGAATGATCCGTTCTAAAGCATAGGAAAAGTGAGGTGACCATGGTAACGGTGTTATTTATCATTTATTTGCTGGGCAGTGAGAGGAATTCTTTATTCGATATGTACACCATCATTCTATAATATATTTCTTGTTAGCATGGATGTAAATGTTTGTAAATAAATTAGAAATTTCAGCTCAAACATTAATATTTCAAATATTCAAATATTTTTTGTTATTTCAAATATTTGAAACATGAAAGAAGGGTCATCAAAAAAATTTCCGATTAGAAATTTATTTTCAAATTTATTCCTTCTTGTTTCAAATCATTTTATATGCAGTACTGAATGGATCAGATAAATAATAATGAATCAAAAAATTTCTCGCATCATTTCCTATTCTTATTTTTTAGTTTTCAAAAATTGGCTTCTTTTTTTCCAGAATTTATATCAATCTTTTTGATGTTTTTGAAATATTTTATTTAATTGTTCTTTAATGGCAAACATAAAAATATTTAAAATATCATTTTTTTTTTTTTTTCAAAATGAAATTTATTTATTTTTTTAGTGAATTTTTTTTTTTTTTTTTTTTTTGTTCATAAAGTTTGTGAGCTTAAATTTTATTAGATTTTGAAGAAGTCCTAAATTTTTTTTTATAGAAAGGACATAGAAATGATAGAGGACAAAAAAGTCTTATCTTTAAGTAATTTCATCCATCTTAGTAATAATAATTATTTTTTTTCCATCTTAGTAATAATAATTATTTTTTGTTTTGTCATTCATTTATAATTTATTGATGAATTCAGACTAATTATACTATCATGAGATCATGTCGAGAACAGAATTCAATCGAACAGTTCCATAAACTTTCACTCAGAACACCTGCAGAAGATGAGCAAATATCTAACAAAAAAGTGAAACCTATAATTGATGCTGCAATTATCGCTCATAAACTCCACTCTGAATATTCAAATTCAGATAATTTTGAATGGAAATCATTAAATGATTTAAATATTCTCACAATTCAAAAATCCAATGAGAAATACATCCTTGGTACGTTGTTTTTTCGTTTTTTTCCCCCTAAAACATATGCATAAATCTCTTATAATTATCACTTTGATGCATAAATTTCTTATAATTATCATTTTGATGCATAAATTTCTTATAATTCATTTCATTTCGATTTGTGATTTAAATAAACTTTCTCTAAGTTTAATCTGATTTTTATCTGATTATATTATGAATGAGAAAAGATTTCAGGGCAAAGTAATTCACAGCGTATGATTTACCCGCACTCAGCTACAACAGATTTTGGGCAATTTCAAGTAATTAATTATTTACATTTCATGGAATTATTCAACTCTAAGATTTTTGCCATTGTGTAAATTAATTTTGGATTAAACTCAAAAATGTTTTTTCTTTTTTCTAAATATACATCCTCTAAATATGCTTTTTCATTTGAAGAAAGTTATTTTTTTTTTTAACAAAAACAAATTAATACCATAACAAAATTAGCATATTCATTTGCTTCATAAATACTTTATAATAATGTAAATTTAATTTTCTAGCTTGATGATAATGGTATTGATAACGAATCAAATATCACAAAACGATTACTATTCAAAAGCAGTACTGTTATCACTGAATCATCATCGCCAAGTACTATCAGTTCAGCTTATTCAGTTACTGATAAGATATCAGAAGTAAACGAGGAAAATATTTCTGATTACGATGTGAATGATTTTGAAGAAATAACTTCAACTGAAAATTTCTCTTCTTCATCTTCAAAAAGTTTGACTTCTTCCAACAAACTTATGCAGAATAATTCGACAGGAAGAAAATCAATGGATTTTCAAATGGAAACTTCTAAAAGTAATAGTAGCAGTAGCAGCAGCAACAATAGTAGTAGTAGTAGTAGTAACTCTTCAAGTACTGATAATAGTAGTAGTAGTAACTTTTCAAGTACTGATAATAGTAGTAGTAGTAGTAACTCTTCAAGTACTGATAAACTATCTGTTAAACAAGCAAAACAATGCTTATCGAAATCAGTGATTAAGGAAAATGAATTTGAGAGTAGAAGTGATAGTGAAACATTGTATTCTACGACAACAACAACAACAACAACAAAAAGTTATAAATCCGGTAGCTATCAGGCAAAAAAAGATGAAAGAAAGAAGAAAGTGAAGAATTCAGAAGAAAATCAGAAGCATAAAAATACCTGTAGCATAGGATGTAGTAAATTGAATTACGGAAACAACCTGAAATATGAATCGATAAGCAATTCTAGTGCAGATAGTCAAAGTTCTCGGGAATCGGTTATTCTGGATAAAAGATCATACAGATTTAAAAGGAAATCATCAATTGCCGAAACGAACAATTTTGCAAATATGAAATATCATATTGATAATCTCGAGAAATCAGATAATTCATGGCATTCTAAATTAGCAAATTTTGATAATTGCTCAAGAAAAGCCGGATTTGACAGGAAAAAAAGTATTAAAAATGTTGCAGTGCAAACAATTCATTTAGAATCAGACAATGATCTTTTGCCTATGTTTACACCTCTTCTACTAAAAGATATTGAAGGTAAGCTTTTTCTTTAAAATTAGCAATTTAATATTAATTAAATTTAAGCAAATATTTTTTTTTACTCTTGCAATTTTGTAATAAATAACTAATATTACTCAAATATTTTCATTTAGTTATTTTTTTCAATTTTACTTAGAATCAATTAATTCCTTTTTAAATAAAGAAATTAAAATTTTTTTTTGTGTGTGTGTGTTTCTTTTTTTTCTTTTTTTCTGCTCTTTTTGAAATTTTATTTTTATTTTAGAAAATATGAAAGAAATGAATAAAAAAGAAGCTATTCACACAATTATAAAAACACATTTGGAATTAATCAAAAGACAAGCAAAACGTGAAAAACGATTGCTGCAAGAATGGAATTCTGCTATTAGCGATTTGGAAGAACGATGTGAGGTGGTCAGTTTTGAACGATTGAAATTACTTCTTCGTAGTGATAATTATTCGTATGCTTGAAGATAAGCTTAGTTTTTTATCACTGTTTTTTGATTTGATAATAATTATTTGATATTAGCAAAAGTTTTTATCACTGTTTTTTGATTTGATAACAATTATTTGATATAATTTGATATTAGCAAAAGTTTTTATCACTTTTTTTTTTTTGATTTGATAATAATTATTTGATATAATTTGATATTAGCAAAAGTTTTTATCACTTTTTTTTTGATTTGATAATAATTATTTGATATTATTTAATATAATTTGATATTAGCAAAAGTTTTTATCACTTTTTTTTTTGATTTGATAATAATTATTTGATATAATTTGATATTAGCAAAAGTTTTTATCACTTTTTTTTGATTTGATAATAATTATTTGATATATAATTTGATATTAGCAAAAGTTTTTATCACTTTTTTTTTTGATTTGATAATAATTATTTGATATTATTTAATATAATTTGATATTAGCAAAAGTTTTTATCACTGTTTTTTGATTTGATAATAATTATTTGATATTATTTAATATAATTTGATATTAGCAAAAGTTTTTATCACTGTTTTTTGATTTGATAATAATTATTTGATATTATTTAATATAATTTGATATTAGCAAAAGTTTTTATCACTTTTTTTTTTGATTTGATAATAATTATTTGATAATTTGATATTAGCAAAAGTTTTTATCACTGTTTTTTGATTTGATAATAATTATTTGATATTATTTAATATAATTTGATATTAGCAAAAGTTTTTATCACTTTTTTTTTTGATTTGATAATAATTATTTGATATAATTTGATATTAGCAAAAGTTTTCATCACTGTTTTTTGGTTTGATAATAATTATTTGATATTATTTAATATAATTTGATATTAGCAAAAGTTTTTATCACTGTTTTTTGATTTGATAATAATTATTTAACATTAGCAAAATTTATCAACTAGTAAAAGACAATAGTGATCTTTAATGATCGTAATATTATAATTTCAATTTTAAATATAACCTTATTATTATTATTATTATTATTAAAGAAGGATGTTTTTTTTGCTTATTTTTTTTTTTTTTTTTTTTTTTTGCTGTTAAATTGCTGTTTTATTATTCAATTTTATTGTAGTCCTATTGGACTTTATATTGTCAAATTGTCTTCATTCCATTTTTTCAAAATTTTTCACTCTTATATTTTAAAATTTTATTTTCATTCATATTACAATGAAATTTTGCTTATTCTCTTTGAAATTTCATCAACAAAAAAAAAAAAAAAAAACATTCAGAATTATTTTGTTCTATTGTCAAGTATTATTCTTTTGTAGAATTTTTGCAAAATTTCTATCATGCAGATTTTAAATTTAAAATAAAAAAAAGCAGATTGTGAGATTTATAGAATGAAGAAGCAATTCATTCGTTTTTTCTTTCTTTTCTCGTCTTTCATTTCAAACATTAAACTTAGTCATCAACCAAAATCAACTAACACACACACATACATTCGTTTTTTTTTTTTTCCATTGAAGTTTGATTTTGATTTTAAACTATACATTTTGTAACAGAAACAAATTTTTATTGCATTCAATAACAATAAAGCATTTCATAGAATTACAAAGATACATAAAAATTATTACAGTAAATGAAAAAAAAAAAAAAATCAATCAATCGATATATCATTCCTGGCTTATCTTTAATAAATTAATTAATTAATTGTTTCAAAAAATTTTATTCTAATTTCAAAATAATTTGAAATTTTTGTGAAATTTATCATAAATGTTCCTCTGAATCCGTGCAGTACTTACTACAGAACTTTAATGATTAAGCAATTGTTATTAAAAATTAAAATTAATTATCCCATAATTTATCAAAATTAAAATGTGGAAGGCATGTATATAATCGTCGTGCTTCTTCAACTGTGATACAACGTGTAGCTAAAAATTATTTCAACTTTATGCTATCAAACATGTTAAAAAGTGCTTCAAAATAATCTTAAAATAATTCTCAACAATTTCATAAAAAAAAAAAGGAATGGCTTTGTCAATAATTTTATAAAAAGAACACCTAAGTTAATTAAACTACCAAATTTAATTATAATAAAAGGTTGTATTTAAAATACGTCATTGATGAATTAAAACAAATTTGAATTAAAATTTCAAATTTGAAAGAAAAAAAAAAAAAACTTAATGAAATCAAATTTGAATGCTTCATACTATTTCTAGTTTCCACCTGTTTTGTTGCTTTTTATTAGGCAAAAATATTTTGATAGCTAGCAAATTTTCATTAGAAGAATTAACCTGTAGTATCGGTGACATTATCACATTCTGTGACAGCATGAACTGATGGCAGTCCAACTGGACAAGCATTTATTCGAGGAGTGCAATGTTCTGCCATCGTCACTATAAATTTCTTATTATATATATATATATATATATGTATTTTTTAAAATGAATTTTTAATAAATCATTTAATTAATTATTACTTAAAAATTACAATTAAGTTTAGATTGAATTTTTTTTTTTTTGTAGTAATATTGTGTCGAATTAAATGTATTATCTTTAAAAAATTTATATATATAAAAACTTAGCTGTATTTAATTTGTACCAAATTCACCTGGAACTTGTAAAGTAACCGTTTGCATGGGAACTTGAAGAGGCACAATGAACTGTTGTGTTTGTGGTATCGTTTGTTGTACCGAAGGTACCATCATCATTTGTGTTTGTTGTATTGGTACCTGCTGTACCGTAGACATATATTGTGATGATACCATTGATTCTGGTATTTGCTGTACTTGTCGCAGCACCTGACCCGGTTGTTCAATAGTTCGGATAAGGTACACAGGTGGTATACTGGGTCGTTGCATTCCTCCTCCTATTCGTACTTGCTGAGGTAAAATTTGCTGTTGCAATAAACTTAATGTTTGCTGTTGTTGTTGTTGTTGTTGACTTTCTACTATGAATTGACCGGGTATTTGGGTCAATATTGGTTGCACTGGTTGTTGAATGAGGAAATACTTCATAAGCGGTGCCTGTGTTAACACAAACGGTTGTTGTTGATGGTGGACATTTACTGCACCACTGAACATAGCTTGCACTGCAGTACCTGCCCGACTACACGGGGTTTGCATCCCATCGCAAGGGCATAACGATCGAGGTACAGAGGTTTGCGGGCAATAATCCGGTATACATCTACAATTCTGGCACTGAAAGGTGGAAAATATGCAAATAACTACAAAAATTCCTACAACAGCAATTAATGGAAAATAAATTTAATTGCAATATGGCTTAAAAGATTAAATTAATGTTTGTTTTAATTAATTAATTAATTAATTAACACAAACCATAAATTTAGTCTTTGTGGTTGAAATAATACATTCGTAACAATTAATGTTTACAAATTTTTGCAAATAATTTTTTTTTTTTTTTTTCGAATCTAACAAGTCTTATTGCCTAATTTATAATAATTAAAGGGATTATCATAAATATTTAAATAAAAAAAAAAGAAAAATAGTAATTTTATTCCAATTATTTGATGAATTTCTTTTGTACAATAATAATGCAAAGAAATGTTACATTCAATGATTGAATTGATAAGTTTAGATAAAGTAATGATTGTGATAAGATGATAATAAAAGAGAGTAAAATACCTGTAGGATAAATGCTTCATTACAAATAATAGTAATTACAATAGTAATAGTAAGAGTGAAAGATGTAAGGCGGTGATTGAACATTACTGAATTGTATGGCTTCTCTCCAAAACAATAAATGTTTGCGCCAAAGGGAAAAAAAATAAAGAATAAATTTTTGTCGTTCTGTTAGCAGTAGTGAAAATAAATTGCAATGGACAAACCGATTTATAAGCACAATATAAAGGGGAAGGAGGAAGAGAGCTATTACTCAGCGGACAGCAAAATATCATATTTGAAGAAATAGTTACTATTTTACATCAATTTCTCTTTTTTTAGCTTGATAGCGAAAAGGGATTTTCTCTCTGTTCATCACTAACTTCTCCTAAAGTGGCGGTAATGTCTCTTAGAGGTAGCAGTGAATCTCATCGGACAGCAAAATATCATATTTGAAGAAATAGTTACTATTTTACATCAATTTCTCTTTTTTTAGCTTGATAGCGAAAAGGGATTTTCTCTCTGTTCATCACTAGCTTCTCCTAAAGTGGCGGTAATGTCTCTTAGAGGTAGCAGTGAATTCAAATTTGACAATAACTTTATTACTTATAGAAAAAATCAAATAGATCTCAAAAGTTACTGAGTTATAAACCTTAATATTATTAAAATAATTCAGACGTATGATAACACGTAACGTGATTTACGTATACTTTCAGTTATACCAGAATGACAAGCGATGCATTACTGTAGCTAAGAGACAGTACTGAAGTAGAAAAAAAAAATTTGCAAATATTTTTGAACGATAATTTTATTACATATAGAAAAAATCAAATAGATTTTTTTATTATCTTTAATTTGAATTTTAAAAATGAAATACATAAAAATGAAAAACTGTGTCGAGAAAAATTTGTTTCGAGAAAAAAAATTTTTAAATAATTTCTCTGATAAAAAAAACTTTATTGTGTAATTTAATTTTAGTCCGGAATGGTTGCTGCTTTACCGATTTCTAAATTTCCAATATTAATAATTTTAGGTATTAAATTTGATAAAAAATTGCTAAGATAGCTAAAAAGTAAAGTGAAAAATTAATAAAAAAAATTCAATCATTATAAAAAGAGTGTTAATATTCAGTAATTAGTTAACATTTCTATTTTGCATTTTCAGCATAAGTAATTATCAAGTTTAGTAATTAAATCGCCTTTTTTTTCTTTAATTTAATTCTTTGTTGACTGAAATTGAAAAATAAAATTTAAAAAATTTATGCTATTAAAAAAGTTAGATTTAATCATTTTCAGGTTTTTCAACATTTAAAAAAGAGAATATTTTTGGTGCTGCACGATGTACTCCAACTGTAAGTTTCATTTACTTTTCATTAAATTGAATATTTACTTTCTGTGTAGCAAATTTGAAAATACCTTTAATACTTTCATATAAGTAAAAAAAATTGACCTTACCTATTGTGTATCTAATTCAAATTCATTTTCTCACTTTTATAAATATGTCTTAAATTAAAATTTTTCTTTTCTAGTTCGCTCCTCTTGTGACATTGACATTTAAATCTCAAATTCAAAAATATTTTCCTAATCAAAGATTGAACTTTAATTTGTTATATAAGCTATAAGCTTTGTATTATTTTTCATTTTTTTTTTTTTTTTTTTAAATTTCCATTCTTTGTAATTTATATGAAATTTTTAAAGATAATGCAACCATTTTGTTGGTGGGCAATTGATTTGGTGACAGCAACAAAATTTCACCTTTATCGGAATGGTATGTCACCTTTGCTGGAACATAACATATATCTCAGATGTAGTCAAGCTGCTTCCGGTATTTATGGTTTCTCATTTATGAATGTTACTACCAATATTACTTACGTGTTAGTATCTTTTCAAAAATTTATCTCTCTAATTTGAATTTTACAAAAAGTAAAGTTTTTTTCTCTCTTTCTCTCTCTCTCATACTGATTTCTTTTGAAAGAAAAAGCTAAAACTCAATGCAAATTTAATTACTTGAGAATATGTGATTTAAAAAAAAAAAAAAAAAAAAAGTCTCTTCAACAATTAAAGAATATTTTGAATCTTTGGTTTTGGATTAAAATTTAAAACAAAATACTTTTATAAAAATAAGAAAAAGATTAGATGCTGATTAAAATAATTATTTACGTTTCATTGTAAGCATTTTTCTCCCTTTTTTTTTTAAAAAAAAAAAAAAAAAATTCAAAAAATTCTATTTTAGTGATTTGAAAGTAAATAAAAATGAAACTAAAATTGAAGAACGACAAAAAATTCTTGTTGAAACTATATATTATTGTTGTAAATCATGTGAATATTATGAGGTAAATTATAACAAATTCTACTACTGTTGTGAATTTATTTACGTGAATATGTTACCTAGATATAATTATTATTATTTATGTTTATGTATTTTTACGTTTATATTCACGTTTCATTTTTTATATTTTATATATTATATATACTTAATTACTTATATATTATATATATATATATTTTTTTTCTTATATGTTTTTACGTGGATATGTATGGTAGATATAATTATTTTGATACAATTGTTTATGTTTATGTATTTTTACGTTTATATTCACGTTTCATTTTTTATATTTATATATTATGCATATATTTAATTATTTATATATTATATATATTTATATATTTTTTCTTATTTATATGTTTTTACATAGATATAACTTTTGATTAGTTTTTTTTCAAATCATTTTTTTTTATTGATAACATGCTCAATCTTTTCTCTAATAATTTTTAAATGTTGCAGGAAAAAAGCGATGAAGAAATAATCGAAGATCTTGCCACGGAATTCTACAGGCGTCGTCTTAAAGATTCAGATAGTACTCTATTATCAAGAAAATATCAGGAAGATTCCGGTTACTGCATTAATGTTGATGGTGAAAAAGAAGTAAAGTGATTTTCCGGATTCGTATTTTCACATAAACTTAAAATGAAATTGAAATTGTTTTGAGACGAATATTAGCGTTTTTAAATTTGCATCTAAGAAAGATTTAAAACTTAGATGAGCGATGTGTCATGCATATTTGTGCTTGATGTAAATACTCCAGCGAAGGTTCATTTTGGTGCAATGCATTGGAATATGATCGATTTGATGAAACAGTCGTCAGAACGTGAAAGTGTATGTTCGTTGATACATTGACGTGACGTAGAAGTTCGTTGATATTGACGTGACGTAAAAATAATGCAATCAAGTAACGTATGATAGAGGAAGAAATCTTTCTTTTGTTTTCGAAGTCAAACGATAAAATAACAGTTTCAACAAGTGTTTATTCTTTAAAATTATAGAAAATTATTTTAAAAAATTAAAAAAAAAATAAATTTTGGTTTTTTTTTTTTTCTAATTTTAAATATTCTTCAAATAAGATCTCATTTTCCAAAAAATATTTTATGAAAATCAACGTGAAGTCTCTTTTTTTTTTTTTTTTTTTTTCAGAATTCACTGGTATCCTTAGCATTGAGCGGTCATTTTTGTGCGTCATACAGTGTCTCACAAATTCCGGACGGTGAATGCGTCCGGTACGCATCGATACGAGAATATTTTGTACTTTGTTGTTGCTATGAAACACCCGAACTTTGTGCATACACAATATCAAATAAATCGATGAGCAATGTAAAAGCAAATCGTGAAATATGGGAATCAAATGTCGAAGTTCGCAATTCTCTTTTAGCTAACGAACTGCGTAAAAATACGTTGGATACGCCAACAAGCTCTTGGACATATCGAGATTTTATTTACAGTAAACCTATGACATTTGGTAAGCTTTGTAGCAAAAATATTAATTTAAAAATTTTCAAACGAAAAATTTATTAGCATTGTGTTTACACGAAATTCTTGTTTTTCTTTATAGTAGCTGAAGACTAAGATAAATAAATTAAACAAAAAAATAATAATTCATTCACATAATTATGTCACCAATGTCAACTGAATTCATTATTTTTCTGAACAAAGTTTAACTATATTAATTTTTGAAAATATCTTCTTCAGTGTTTTCAAAAAACATTCATAGAGTATTGTGAAAATTGCTGTATTTTATAAAGATCAAAAAAGCTAAATAAAAATTATAATTACAATTAGACTTCAATTTTAATTTGAGTACAAATATTAGCTAGATAATAGATTATTATTATTATTATTATTATTATTATTATTATTATTATTATTATTATTATTATTATTATTACCATTATTATTATTATTAGTAAAAAATCATTAAAGCCATTCATTCATTCACTTTTTGAGGTGACCAAAAAGAAATTTCATCCATTCGTAATGTTCCGCTTTGGCACTGTGCCGTTGGACGATTCATGGTGTACAGCATTCGAGATATTAATACGTCTGCGGAACTGGACCGACTGAAACGGAAAGACCTGCCAGTGCGTACGGAATACTGTATCGCTGACTTTTGGATCGAATTTAAGCAAGGTCAAACAGAAAGGTTATAGGTTACAATTTATGCTTATTTCTCTCTCCCTTTCTCTCTCTCTCTCTCTCTCTCTCTCTCTTCGACTAATCTTGCGGTCGGTACGGTAACTAATTTCTTTGTAACAATAATAAAATATTACCGGAAATATGTGTGAATGGATCGTCTGGAAAAGCTTTTCATGTCACTGATCAAATGATTTCCTTAAAAGTTTTAGATTGACAGCGATTAGCAGATTTATCTCATTTTAGAAAAATAATTTAAACTGCTTAAATGTTCTGTGATATGTTTGAACAAATATCAGAAGCCATCAAAAGCTAATATTAAATTTTATGGAATAGACAACATTTAACAAATTGAAATTTTATTAAAGAATGAGCTACAGATATGAGCTAAATGTAGCATTAATTTTTGATAAATTAAAGCAATTCATCTTCTTACTTTAAGTTATATGCATAAGTTAGAACAAAAATCAATAGTTGAGTTCATCTTTATGTCTCAAAATTATTTTAAAATATTTTTGATGCATCTTATTTGAGAATTTTTAATCAAAACTTTTATATTATTATATAAGTTAGAATAAAAAAATCAAATATTATATGCAGTTAAAAGTATAAGTAAACAAAATGATAGTTCAAAATTGTTTTTA